GATTGTATCCATTCCATGCTTCTAATAGCTAATAAACTAGTTACTTTCATCCCTATCATTTTCCTTATTTGTTCACGATGTGGCCTATAATTTAATAAATTCCATTTTGCATCTTTTTATTGATAACTGTTTTACTTCTTTCATCTTGCGGTTCGAAAAAAAAAAACTAGTTATCCTACTTCCTTCAATTTTCAAGCTTTGATATTAGTTGAGACGATTAATACAAGAGGAGGGGTGAATTGTATTGAGTTCCTAATGACTACTTTTTGAGGATAAATAAACAATGCGTATAGGAACTTATTAAAACACACAGATTTTACGAGGAAACCTTCCAGGGCCCAAATGGAAGTAAAACTTCGACCCTACCTTAGGGATTTCAAACACAAAACACTTCACTATAATAGGGCAAATACCAAGTTACAACTTATTAGACACAGACCTTTATTTCACAAGTTCCTCACTGGACTTGCTACTTGATAGGACCCTATCCTACCCAATCTAAGCACCACACTTAGATTCACTCGTACCACCAAAGTACTACACGTACTACCAAAGCACAGCTACTCGTACCACCCCAGTACAGAACTCACAGCCTCACCTAGAAGCCAACACAAAACTGTATGTAACACAAACTATAAATTCACCCAAATAACCCAACCAATACAAATATAAGACACCTAGTATGATAGGTAAGCAATGCACGAAATCCGAAACTAATATGATAAGTTAAAAGCTTGGTAAACTTACTCAATTAAAGCACTGTGATTTCTCCACGCATAAACTCACAAAAAACATAAATCATTTTGCTCTCGACTATTTATACAAGTAACACTCGTATAGAAAGTAGGTTTTCTGAAAAAATAAATATGTTAACTTAACTTATCTTTTAAACACGGTTTTAGCAAATCAAGTGGAATAAAATCTTTTCCGAAAATAAGTTTAAAAAAATATTTATTAAGAAGAATTATCTTTTTAATAAATCGACTTTAGAGAAAATAATCTTTTTAGAAAATCTTTTCATAAAATCTATCTTTTATTATTTTCATATTTATTTTATTTACCAAACAAACTTATCACGTTTCTAATAAATTTCGTGCACTAACCTACTTACCATATTAACAATAATTTCTAAGATAAAACCTTAACTATTATTGTTGCGCCGTACTTTGATCAGGTAAATTACTTGGGCTCCAAGCATATCAAGTTCCACTAAAGAACTTAACTGCTAGTCTTCAAGTTCCTGTTAAGGAACGTTCCTGTTAGGGAACTTAGTTCTTGTTAGAGAACTCTTCCTCTTATTTGTTTAACTTCTTCAATAAAGATCTTCTTCATGTCTTCTTAGATTCAGATGGTTCTTCAATCACCAAGATTAATCTGCACCTTGACTAATCACACACTAGAGAATCTTTATTAGTTGAGTTTGCTTTTAGTTCAAGTTCCTCGTCATCAAAACCATTATGCTTCAACAATTTCCCCCTTTTTGATGATGACAAATTTAAGCAATCTCTAAAACAAGTTAAACAAAATAGAAGGTCGTATTTTTTATATTTTTTTTATTAACAAAAAGTAAACACACACAGCACAAAAATAAAAGGAAATATTGAAAAGAATAATCCCACCTTTCGCCCATCTGCTCAAAATAATCCCACCTTTTCGAATTCCAGAAATAATCCCACCTTGTAACCCCATCTTCTCAAAATGATCCTTTTTACCCACAACCGTTTCAACAGGTAATTTTATTTTTTTTTCAAATAAATAAAACAAAGGCAAAATAAAATTAAAAAAAAAAAAAGAAAAAGAAAAAAATCCCCCAACACCCTAACGCAGCCCCACACCCACCATTGGCACCACCTGTCCCCCCATCGGCGACAACTTAACCCTAGCCGTCGGCACCCCTGCCCCACCAATACCGGAAAAACCTTCCTTCCCCCTTCTCTTTCCCCGAAAACCATCTTAACCCAGCCTAACCACCTCAATCATTCGACCTCTTCGAACCACCGCAAACACCACCCAAATTCCACCTCAAACACCACCTCAAAATAATCCCACCGCAAACACCTCAAAATTGGCCGATGTCTGGGATTGCCAGCGGCAAATGTGTTGTTTTGGGGTTGAATTGGAGGTTGTGGCTGCGACTTGTGGGGTTGCGACATCACGATGGTTGGAGATGGTTGTAGCGATGTTGATGGCTGCAATTTTAAAGGCTGCCACGCTGGGGGAAGTTGGGGTAATTCTGGAGTTAGTGCAGTTGTGGTCGTTGTGGGGTATGTTGGGAGAATTTGGAGGTGGTGCGGTGGGGTTATTGGTGTGGCTGGGCGAAGCCCGGGAGTTAAGAGGGGTTGTGATCGGTGGCAATTTGGTGTGTGTGGGTTCGATGGTGGTGGGTTGTAGTGGCAGCAACTGCAGAGAGGAAGGTGAAATTTGTGATGGTGGTGATGGTGGTAAGGCGCGGCGGCAGGGGGTTGTGACAGTGGTGATAAGGGGGTGGTCATGTAGCTGGGAGAATTTTTTTTTAATTGTTTTGTTTTTGTTTTAAATTATTTAAAATTTAAGACCAATTAAAAGGTGACACGTGTCAAGTCACCTTCTAAAACAGGTTACTAATTTCATAAACCGGTAAAAGGATCATTTTGGGAAGATGGGGTTACAAGGTGGGATTATTTCTGGAATTCGAAAAGGTGGGATTATTTTGAGCATATGGGCGAAAGGTGGGATTATTCTTTTCAATTTTTCCAAAATAAAACTAAAAACAAAAAAATAAGCAAAAACAGAAATAAACTAGAAGAAAAACCAAACTAAACAACTGCAGCTTAAATTATTAATCATTGAAAACCCAAAATATATATCATCCAGTTGAACAATTTAAGAAAATTTACAACCAAAATTAATTGTTCAAACATTAAAACAGAAATTAAACTTGTTCATGACTGAAGTAGAGAAAATAGGCTAGGCTGAAAAGGAAAGGAGATAGGCTAGGTTTCTAGAAACTCCAGAATTTTCTTGTAGTCCTCCTTTGTCTGTTGTGCATAAGCTTCCAAATTCTCTTCAAGACTCTTGATTTTCACTAGGAACTCCTCCTTTTGTTCTTGTAGAGCCCTGTTCAGTTCTTCCTGAAACTTCCTTTGCTGTTGAAGTTCCTTGTCCTATTTTAGCACAACCTTCTTGAGTTCCTTTAACTCCTTCCCCTGCTCCTGCACTAGCTTTTCCAGGGTCAGCATATGAAGTTTTCCAGCAGAATCCTTCACCTGATTCTCAACCCTTTCCATCCTGTCCACCAATTCACCAACTTGCCCATTGAGGATGCTTTCCTCAACATCCAACTCCAGTGGTTGTTCCATGCTTGTTTGAGGAACAACACTGGCATAAATACTCCTGCTTTTTCTCACAGGCTGCTCAGATACAACCTTTTCCTTCCTCTTCCCAGTCACTTTCTCTTTCTTTTTCTCTCCCTTCTCTATTTTCTGAATTTTTCCATTCACTACCTCCAAACTCAACCTAGCTAAAGTTTCCTCATTGATCACATTTTCTGGCTTTTCATCCAAAGCCCCATATTTACCCTTCAGAACCACTCCAGCATTTTCAAACACAGTAGACAAAATGGCTCCATACCCCACTTTTGTCCTACTAGGAACACAATGTGCTAAATGCTGGTACATCAATGCAGGAAAGTTGACTTTAATTTTCTTAGACAAACAGAATATTACAGCCATATCCATCAGACATGCTTCCCATTTCTTAGCAGTTCTAGGCAAAATAGTTTTCTTCACTAGATTAAACAACAATTTGTTCAAGGGACTTAGATCATTGTGACTCATGACCTTCTTCCCCCTTTGACCACCTAAGGCCTCAACAATGTCGCCTGTCAAATAGTTACCTACTTTGACACTGGCCTTTCCTTTGATATATGACTCGTAACCCTCAGTAGGTGTTTTCAGAATTTTACCTAGGGTTTCAATATTTAGTTCAATTTTTACCCCATCAACAACACTCGAAATTACCCCTAATTTTGCTTGAAAGTTTTGACAAAACTCAGTCATAGCAACAAGATATAGATAATTTGCTGAGACTCTTGATAGCAAGAATTCCCAGCCTTGGAACTTAATTAAATCAAGAAATTCTAAAAACCTTGCTTTCCTACACCAAACAAGATCAATGCGATGTCCTACAACATACCTCCCGGCCTGTGACTCAAGTTCGGTTTGATCAGTTACCTCCTCTTCTTCATCTTCCTTTTCTGAATTGTTCTGATCTTCTTTATCTTCTTCTCCATCATTCATCTCTTCTTCCTCTTCGTTCTCCTCTTTTGTCTCTTCTAAATTTTTTTCCTTGAGAAAAATCATTAACTTCCTCGATTTGCTCTTCAAGAGACTTCTCACTTTGTTTCTTCTCTTTCCACTCTTTTAGCCGTTGAAGAATACTTGAGACAGAGGATTCTTCTTGATCACTCTTACTTTTAAATTCTTTAGGTTTCAGAGGTGAGTTTTTAGGGTTTTCAGGAGTTTTGTTTGAAGTAGAGGATGACTTGTAGTTCACCATGGCTAAGGGAGATGTTTCTTCTTGAATAGTATTTTCGGAGTGTTGAGAGTTTTCTGAGGAGACAATTTCAGCAATGATCACCATTGTTGTTTTAGGGAAGGTTTTTAAAGTTCGAGAGGGTTTTTACTGAGAAGGGGTTAATTGATTTGACAGTGAGGTGAAAGAAGTAGGTGAAATCAGCTTTTTATAATTAATGAAGCGGTGTGAAGGAATTTAAGGGGTTTCACTGTTCAGTCATTAATTGAACAAATTCAATTAATTTTTCAATTTTGAAATTATTGGATGAATCTTTCAAAAAAATTTCTTTTCAAATTCATTTAATTTAAAAGAAAATTTCTATAAATACACAGTTGGAACACGCTTTTTACATAGGTGCAATGTATATATTTAATAACTAACACAGTTAAGTAATTTAATGAACTTACCTTTGGTAGTTAACAACGGTGACACTTCAGCTATGCTTATCACACCAAAATTGTGTTAAATGCTCTTTTCGCTTTATTTCCATTATCCCTGACTTTTCCATATCTAGGAACTTCAGAAGCAATCAATTCATCTTGATCATTCCAAGTTCCAGTCTCAATTTCACAAATCTTTCTCTGTTCAAGGGTTTGGTCAAAATATCTGCAAGTTGATATTCCGTATTACAAAATTCCAATTTAATATTCCCTTGCTCCACATTATCTTTTAGAAAGTGATGCCTAATGTGGATGTGTTTTACCTTAGAGTGCTGAACTAGATCATTAGAAATACATATAGCACTTGTGTTGTCACAGTATATAGGTGCACATTCAAAAATAAGACCAAAATCTCTAACCTGTTATTTTATCCAAAGTACTTGTGAACAACATGCTGCTGCTGCCACGTATTCAGCTTCATCTATAGATAAAGAAACTATGTTTTGCTTCTTGGAACCCCAAGAAACTAAACAAGGTCCTAAAAACTGTACCATACCTGAAGTGCTTTTTCTATTCACTAAATCACCTGCATAGTCAGCATCAGTAAATCCATGTAAATCAAATGAGTCACTTCTAGGATAGAAGAGACACAAGTCATCAGTTCCTTCCAAGTATCTAAGGATTCTCTTTACTGCTTTCAAGTGAGACTCCTTTGGGTTTGCTTGGAACCCGGCACACAAACCTACACTGAAAGATATGTCAGGTCTACTAGTTGTTAAGTAAAGTAAAGAACCTATCATACCTCTGTACATAGGTTGATCAACACAAGTTCCAGATGGATCATCATCCAATCTGGTTGCAATGCCCATTGGAGTATCATTTGTCTCAGAATTTTCAAGTTTGTATTTCTTGATCAGTTCCTTGATATACTTTTGTTGATGGATCATGATTCCTTTCTCAGATTGCTTTATTTGCAGTCCGAGGAAGAAATTTAATTCTCCCATCATGCTCATCTCAAATTCTCCACTCATAAGGTCAGCAAAATACTTGCACAAAGATTCATTAGTTGCACCAAACAAAATATCATCAACATAAATTTGTACAACTAATATGTCAGTTCCATTTGATTTTAAAAACAAAGTTTTATCTATTTTGCCACGTTTAAAACCATTTTGTAATAGGAACTTTTACAATCTTTCATACCATGCTCTAGGAGCTTGCTTTAGCCCATAGAGAGCTTTGTCAAGCTTGTAGACATGTTTTGGGAACTCTGGATTTTCAAATCCATGAGGTTTTTCCACAAGACTTCTTCATTTAGAAAACCATTTAGAAATTCACATTTTACATCCATCTGGAACAACGCGAATCCCATATAAGCAGCAAAAGCAATAAGTAAACGAATAGCCTCTAACCTGGCTACTGGAGCAAATGTTTCTTCATAATCTATTCCTTCTTGTTGATTGAAACCTTGTAAAACCTGTCTTGCTTTATTTCTGACAATAATACCATGCTCATCCAGCTTGTTCCTAAACACCCACTTTAAGCCTATTGTCTTCTTATCATTGGGTCTAGGTTCTAGATGCCATACTTTGTTTCTTTCAAACTCATTTAGTTCAGCTTGCATAGCCTTAATCCAGTCTGCGTCAGTTAAAGCTTCAACATAGTTCTTAGGTTCCATAGAAGAAAGGAATGAATAGAATGCACAGAAGTTCCTAAGCTGGGATCTAGTCTGAGTTCCTTTTGTAATATCACTCATGATTGCATCTACAGGATGTGACTTCTGATGTTTCCATCGTTTAGGTGTAAAGTCCTTCACTGGATACAATCTTTCCTGATCATTGTTGACTGGTTCTTCCGTAGGAACTTGTTCTTGAGCCTCAGTTGGAACCTCAACAGGATTCTCCTCATTCTGATTTTTATTTTATTCTTGAGCAGGAGTTCCTGGAGCATTCTCCATTTCTGGTTCTTCATTTGCTTCCAGATTCGTTTGCTCACCAATTTCCACTTGCTGCTTCTGCAATGATGTTGATTTTTCATCTGGATCTGTCTTGCGGACAAGTCCAATTTCGAAATCATTATCACATCTTGTACATCATTTAGAGATTGTTCAGTTTCATCAAATATAATATGTACAGATTCCTCAACACACATTGTTCTTTTATTATAAACTCTATATGCTTTACTATTAGAGGCATATCCTAAGAATACAGCCTCATCACTACGTTTATCAAACTTTCCCAAGTTCCTTTTACCATTGTTATGAACAAAACATTTACAACCAAAAGATCTAAAATAAGAAATATTAGGTTTTCTCCCTTTGATCAACTAATAAGGGGTTTTGTTGGTAATGGCTCTAACTGATACTCTGTTAAGAATATAGCATGCTGTATTCACTGCTTCTGCCCAGAAGTTCCTAGGCAAACCACTTGAGATCAGCATTGTTCTAGCCATGTCTTCAAGGCTTCTGTTCTTGCGTTCCACCACTCCATTTTGTTAAGGGGTCCTTGGGGCAGAGAAGTTGTGATCCATTCCATGCTCAGTGCAAAATTCATCAAACTTTGAATTTTCAAATTCAGTACCATGATCTGATCTGAGATGTATCAATGGATTACCTGTTCTTCTCTGTTCTTTCTTTACAAAAGCTACAAATTCATCAAATGTTTCATGTTTAATAACAAGAAAGAAAACCCAAGTAAACCTTGAAAAATCATCAACAATAACCATAACATATCTCTTACCACTTCTACTTTGTATTCTCATAGGGCCACATAGATCCATATGAACAAGTTCCAAAGGTCTTTTGGTACTTACCATTATCTTGGACTTAAATGAAACTGGAGTCTGTTTTCCTCTAACACAAGCATCACACACTTTGTCATACATGAACTTAATACATAGAAGTCCTTCCACTAGTTCCTTAGATCTCAATTTATCAAGTACAGTAAAGCTTGCATGTCCAAATCTCTTGTGCCACAATAAAGGATCATTCTCAATGACACTAAGACATGTTAAACTGCTATTAGGAACTTCGTTAAGATCAACAACATATGTGTTACCTTTACGAGTTCCTTCTAAGATGATGTTCTCAGTGTCATTGTGAATGATTCTGCACTTATTAGAAGTAAAGCTTACGGAGTTACCTTTGTCACAAAATTGTGAAATACTTAACAAGTTGTGTTTGAGACCCTCGACCAAAAATTCATTATCAATAGCATGGGAACTTGACCTTCCTACTTTGCCAATAGCAACTATATCTCCTGTCATGTTATCACCAAAGGTCACAGTTCCCCCATAGTAGGCATCCAGTGAGAGAAATCTAGATTTATCTCCAGTCATATGCTTAGAACAACCACTGTCGAGGTACCAAGTGTTGTTCCCCCTCACTAGAACCTGCATGAGAAATCAAACATTAGGTTCAGGAACCCAGGTTTTCTTGGGTTCCTGTGTAACAACAGTAGGTTTATTCTTTTCGATCCAAATCTGTTCTACATGTTTTATATTTTTCTGTGTACTCTTTTCTTTCTTAGGACACTTAACTTGTTTGTGTCTAGTATTCCCACAGAAATAACAAAATATACTACTAGGCAGGTCAACGTACTTCTTTTCCTTTTGGAACTTCCTTTTAAAACCCAAACCTTCTGTTCTTTTGGTTTGAGCTTTGGTGATCCAATCTGGAACTCTGTAGTCTACAGGTTGTTTGCCTTTCCTAGCTTTCTCAAGTTCCCCCTCAAGTCTTGCCTTATCCGCTTTTATATCTTCCAAATCAGATTTTAGTTTTTCAAAATTCGGATATTGAGCAAGTGGAGGAACTCCAGAATTAGGAGCATTAAGACAGAGTTTCATCAAGGATAGTTCCACATTTAACATTATATTATCATGTTTCAACTTGTCTATAGTTTCCTTTAAATAATTATTATCATCAAACAGACTAAAGAATCTATATTAAATATCAAATTTTAAATTATCAACCCACTCATTGTTTTCTTTAAAAGTAACCAAAGCTTCATCACTTTTATGTTTAGCTTTATGCAATTCTTTAAGTTCTTCTTGAATTTCTAAAACAACTAATATTAGGTTTTCTTTAGAGAAATGTCTAAGTTCCTTTTGAGAAAACCATACCTCAGACTCTAGTTCCTTCAGCTTTTCCTTTTCATCAATTTTAGCCATCAAGCACAGATGGGTAGTTTCTTCTGGAGGTTGGTCTTCCTCTTCCTCTGAATCTGAATCTGAATCTGAATCTGAGTCTCCCCAAGCAGCCAGCATGGCTTTCTTCACGTTGTCCTTGGTGAAGTAAGGTTTATAGACTCTTGACTCTTTGGATTGCTCCTTGCCCTTTGTCTTTCCTTTCTCACCATCTGGTAATGGACAGTCTTTAATGAAGTGATCTTTCGAGCCACACTTGAAGCAAGTTGTGTTTCTGGAACTCGCATATTTCTTGTTCCTATCAAACTTCTTGTAGTTCATCATCCTTTTGAACTTTCTAACTAGCATTGTCATTTCCTCTTCATCGGCTTCTGATTCCTCTGAGTCTTGAGCCTTAAGAGCAAGACTCTTGTTTTTGGAACTTTCAGAGTTGGAACTCAGATGTAATTCATGAGTCATCAATGATCTAGCTAGTTGTTCCATGTTGAACTTTGTGAAGTCCTTAGCTTCTTGCATGGCAGTAACCTTTGATCTCCATCGTTCATCTTGTGGCAGACTCCTCAAGATTTTCCTATCCTGTTCATCAATAGGAATGTGTTTGCCAAGGGAATTCAGTTCATTAATAATATCATTGAACCTAGTAAACATTTCCTCTATAGTTTCCTTTTATTTCATTTCAAACCTTTCATATCTAGACATCAACAAATCAATCTTAGAACGTTTTACCTCATTTGTACCTTCATGAGTTACTTCTAGTAGATCCCAAATCTGTTTAGCAGACTTGCATCCCATGATACGATTATGTTCATGAGGTCCAAGTCCACAGTGCAAATACTTTATTGCTAAAGCATTCAGTCCAAGTTTCTGATAATCTTCTTTATCATAATCAGAAATAGGTTTAGGAACTACCTCTTTCTTTTCGTTGGTTATGGTTATTTCAAAATCACCAGCTTCAATAACACGCCAAACCTGGTAATTTTCTGCCTTAATAAAGATCTCCATCCTGTTCTTCCAGTAGGTGTAAAACTTACCATTGAACATGGGTGGACGTTGGGTAATAACCTTCTTCAAGTTTCTCCTTGTAATTCATCTCTCCAGGAACTTACTCAGCAAAGTTATTCGCTTACACGAGAGTACCTTGCTCTGATACCAATTGTTAGTTGAGACGATTAATACAAGAGGGGGGTGAATTGTATTGAGTTCCTAATGACTACTTTTTGCGGATAAATAAACAATGCGTATAGGAACTTACTAAAACACACAGATTTTACGAGGAAACCTTCCAGGGCCCAACTGGAAGTAAAACCTCGACCCTACCTTAGGGATTTCAAACACAAAACACTTCACTATAATAGGGCAAACACCAAGTTACAACCTATTAGACACAAACCTTTATTTCACAAGTTCCTCACTGGACTTGATACTTGATAGGACCCTATCCTACCCAATCTAAGCACCACACTTAGATTCACTCGTACCACCAAAGTACTACACGTACTACCAAAGCACAGCTACTCGTACCACCCCAGTACAAAACTCACAACCTCACCTAGAAGCCAACACAAAACTGTATGTAACACAAACTATAAATTCACCCAAATAACCCAACCAATACAAATATAAGACACCTAGTATGATAGGTAAGCAATGCACGAAATCCAAAACTAATATGATAAGTTAAAAGCTTGGTAAACTTACTCAATTAAAGCACTGTGATTTCTCCACGCATAAACTCACAAAAAACCTTAATCATTTTGCTCTCTACTATTTATACAAGTAACACTCGTATAGAAAGTAGGTTTTCTGAAAAGATAAATATGTTAACTTAACTTATCTTTTAAACACGGTTTTAGCAAATCAA